TGTATTCTAAATAAATTTCACTTTTGTACTGCCCTACTCCACTAAATAGTATTTTGTTGTATTTTGTCGTCTAAGAAAGAATTCTAGCTAAATCAATATGGATATGTATCGCTTTTTGCAATATCTGTAATCGGATGTTATGTTTTTTAGAAAACAGATTTGATCAAATTTTATTGTATTTTTGTTCCATTAAAAATCTATTCCATGACGTTGACAATTATTTATTTTATAAAACTTATTTCAAACCAGAAGAGTTTATTTTGAGAGACCAATGTTAGAGACAAGTACTGATTACGAGTATATTAAAAGATAAAATCTGAATCATATTGGTAAAACTGAAAATGTGATGTATGTGGTTTACATACAAATTTTTTATTTATAATAAAACTTAACTTTCAACTACTGATATACATTGAAGTCGTAAGTTCCGTTTTGTTTTATTTTTTAAATAATTGTAAATCTTGCATTAGTCTATTTTTAAATTAAGAAATTAACATTTAACTCTAGCTTTAGCAAGTATAGAACAGCTGAAAAATAAATCAAAATTACTAAAATTTCTTTCTGAGAACTAAAATGTTTTGCAAATTTTCTGTATGTATTGTTCTTTCTGTATTATTACTCAAAAGAATCTATAATAACTGTTTGATTCTTGTGTTTTATAAAGGGCCTCTAATCATCTAGAGCCATAACCTATGTACATGTACAAAAAATATATTTATATTTATTACGCATATTTAATATATATAAGTATGTGTTGCAAATGTACTACGTATTATAAACAGTTGTATCACCAACACTCAAAAGAATGTACTACAATTGTGTGATTCCTGTGATTTATAGAGAACTTCTTTTCGCCAAGAGCTATAACCTATGTACAGGTACAAAAAATATATTTCTGTTTTTTATATTTATTACGCATATTTAATATATATAAGTATTTGTTGTAAATATACTATATATTATACAGTTATAGTACAATTCCAATAATTGTATCACCAACAATTAATACTCAAAATATTCCTATACATATTAAACTTTTTATTTATGGTGTAGAAATTGTTCTCTTTAGATTCTACTTAAGTTTTAGTAGAACAAATTTACTAATTTAATTGTAATTTGTAATTTTTTATATTAATAGCTTTTAATATTTTTATTGTTCATTTTTAATTATGATCATATTCATAACGTTTACAGCGAGACCCATTTATACCTCTCTCTTTGCTATTTAGTCCAATTTCGTTGGAATGCGCCGGATTATAAATCTCAAGCAATAATTAAAATTTTTTATATTTTTATCTAAGATAATTAACTTGCAGTAAATTATAAAATTAAGTATCTTTAAAGTTTATAGATTAAAATTCTGTGACGTTTGTAGGAAAGCACAAAGTAGTTCAGCTTCAATTTTTAATTCCAACATTAAGCAGTGCTGCTGCTGATAATGACAACGATTTTTAGGAGTTCAATTGGTGTTCACTACTTTTTCGGTCTTTTTGGACGTCTCTTGTGGCATTCGTGCTAAGCCACCAGTAATAGCATTTCTTACTGTTAATTACCACAGAAACCAATTTTCTGTGCACACAAGTGTATGTAATTTGTTACGTTGTGATAGGATCATTGTGGCTTGATGACTGCGATGACTGCCGTGATGGTGATGTTTGTAAATTACAAAACTAAACTAAACAGAAAAAAAAAAATAAATAAAATAAAAACAAAAAAATTGGAGGAAACAATTTCTTTTTTACTTAAAATTATTGAATACCAAATCCATTCGTGGTCTTAATCGTTACATTATTCTTTGATTTTGTATTTTTTCTCTTCGGTACATTGGAACAAAAGAAGCACTGAAGCCAATAATGAGACTGGCTGTGGAACGGCGGATTGTTTAGGACTGCCAATGGCTGACTGAGTCATGATTGTGCAAAATGAAAATTTGCAGATGCAGAAATTAATAAAAGTATTGATTGCTTATGAAATTTTTATATAGGTACGAGTATATATATTGTTTATTGGAACAGCGACAATAGTCGTACTGTACATAGACTAAGTTTTGACTTGCCAGAATTGTTGGCCCATTTTGCTTTATTTCCTATTATAATAAACGGTCTTTTGTATATGTAAGCATATACGGTATATACTCTACATAATTTATTTATGTTGGAAGGTACATGCATATTTGCATTTCATTAAGTTCTTTATCGTTTTGATATCGAAAGTTCTACAGAGTTTTTTTTTATCAACTTTTTAATGTGCTTGAACTGAAGAGCTCTTGACAGTACACCAAAAGTGCTTAGGTTCCCATTTGCATGCCAAAATTCTGATTACTTTTTGTTTTTATTTTTTTTTTTGGTTCCCCTCTACTTTTGAGTATTCTAAATGACTTCAATGGCTCTTATGAAGTCAATACACACATTTGCAAAATTTGACGATTTGTCTGTTGAAACGTTGGTCTGTAGTTCGCCTCTGTAGAAGACCTTTACCGCAATTTGGCACAATGTGTGACTGCAAATTAGTTCAGCTCATTAGTTCCAAAGCAAAAACAAAGCAAAATATTAGAAAGAGAGAAAAAAATTAAATTGAATAAAAGAACTCTAGCATAAAGCAATGTTTGCATGAGAAGAAGGAGGGCTGGCTCCATGCTAGTCTATAAAACAATATGTGCATGCCGGTTCGTCGGGTTCAAATAAGCCAACTGCGGGAAATTAATGAAAATCGGCATTGCAAAAATAAAAATAATATGAAAAGAATTACTAATCACGAATATCATAAGAGAAATGATGATGATGACGACCATGACGAAACTGGCAATATTTCTCCTTCAGAACTGCAAGTTTTTTGTGCTATTAAAACGTGCTTGGAAAATTTTGAATTACTTTTGTTTGATTTTATTGAAGTAGGGAGGGAATACGAGTAATGCAGGCAAACTTTATATAAAGAAAATTGCAACTTTATTTTGCTATCGATTGTGGTCTCTGAAGCAAAAGAAATTTATATTGTGTGAAAGAATAAATTTTTTTTATAATAAAATAGAACCAAAAATAAAAAAAAAATCAAAAAATAATTTATTGTCTTGGTTTGCAATATGAACCCTTTTGAGTATTATCAGTTAATCAAGGTTTTAAATTATATTTTAAACTTCAAAAATTGAATAAAAATTTTTTATTTTTTCCATAAAAATATTAAAGGTAACATTATGGCATAAGTATAACCATTACTATTACTATTACTATTAAAGACTAGAAAGCGCTGCGGCCTGTATAGATCTTCTGTGCATCACATAGACACTTAACCCTGTATTTTTCGCATTATATAAATTTTAACATATTTTAAAGTTTGTTTTTTCATAATTTATATGACACATAATAAGACCACCTAAGTTGTGAAGGCTTTGTCTGCCAAGAGTTGGATTATTTTAAAAAATGTGCTTTAGGATCTCAATATTCCCTTCACTAAAACCACAGACATTAGTGTTGAAGAGTTCCTATTTATATAATTGATATTGCAAGTTGTAATGAACTATAAAATAAACAGATAGACTCATTTAGTCTTTCCTATTAAGTAAAAGCAGATTACTTATTATTCGCTTTATTGGTAAAAGATAATTTTATTTGACGTTGGCCTACGTTATTAAACTAGTGTTATACTCTCCTTTCCTGATGACTTCATTTAAATGACTTTTTATAAGGCTACAGTGTGGCTCGAAACTAATTAGGAATATATTTACCCATCCTTTGACTGGGTTATTCATTTTTCCTACTCCCATTTATAGATAATTTCATTTGAATAGGTTTTTGTAAGTTCACGGGTAAGCTCAGGATCAGTTAAGAGAATGTTTCTTTCATTTTTGAATGGTTCCCAGTTTATAAAAGACCTTGGACCCATTCTAAACTATAGTAAAATAATGGACAAATACGTTATAAAAAATTGTTTAAAATGTCTTCACTATATTTAATTTTTTTTGTGTATATTGTAAAGATGAACATTCCAAAAAATAACCAGAGTCGAAATCGCGCTAGCAATTGATGTAGTTAATAACCGGGACAGTGAATATGTCCTAATAAGGCAACATCAATCAAGAAATTACGACAGAAAAAGTTACGGTTTCTGATTTTTAACATACATGACAAAAAGCATGGAATTTTGTTGCATTAGGACAACGCACCAGTGTATTTTTCAGTAATTGTAATAGCCAGATTGATTGAATAATAATATTAGAGAGTATAGTATACACTATATTTATCAGATTTGGGTTCGTATAACTTTTATTTATTTTCAAATTTAAAATTACCCTATGGGTAACAATGTGGATGTCTATATAAAACTCGTGAAGCTCATTGTTTCATGTTATGCTATACTCGAGAAATTTTTTCTCGTAAGCTCATAATGTGTTACCATTACTATTGGTTATTGCTCTAGTTCCTATGTCACATAGTAGGACGTCATCCTTAAAGTTTTATTGACCGTTTCCAATAAAAACAAAGTGGTTAAAGCCGTGTCTTTGTTTTTGGACTCTGCTGAACACGATATATATCTGTAAAGTCCTAAATATCTCTGTACCGTTCGAATTTGAGTATAAGCAAGAACAAAGTCCTAATAAGTAAGTAAGAAAGTATTTAATTTTCTCATTCTGATATTTGGAGTATATGTAACTTAAACACTTTAAATTGTTATATTGCGCTATTGAGTTCTTTCGGATTTGGTTCTTATATAAAATTTTGTTGAGTGTGTTCGTAATTTTTTACTATTCTGAGACTAAAGAGCCTTCAAAACACTAATATGTCGCACTGTATATAAATAAAGTAACAAGTGCCGCTCAAAGCAACAAGGAAGAAATTAAAAAGAATAATGTTGCCAACTTAACGACAAAGGGAACTACGACAATTCCTATCAATGACCGATTGCCAATGCTTTCTTAACTGAATGTGTACGATCTTATATTAACTGCCTAAACATCACTCTTTGGAGTTTATGCAATACTTACTGCTTGAATCAAATGGTGATTTTCTGAGCTCTAATAAAAATTTTATGAATGAGATTCGGAAATGGTTTATAGTCAGTTATTGCTATATACCTACATACATAGAAAGCACTTTCGCTAATAATCATTGCGTGACTTAGAAATTTTGTTTATTTAAATTTATGAATATACTAGGTGACCCCGCGAACTTCGTACCGCGTAACAGTCAATGAATGTTATATTAAATTTTAGATTCATCAGCGATCGAATTTTGTGCTTGAATACACGTGCAGTGATGTCGTGCCGATCACTTGATGTCTGTCCAGAAAGCAGCATTTGAACAATTTCTTTCCATTTTGGATTACACGAACTAATTTTCTTGGTAGTTTCCTCACCTGATTTAAAAACAGTAAAATTAGTATCTTAGAAGTGAGACTCACGTCTGTATTCTGAATTGAAAACTATGATGTTGATACATACAAACCATTCAATGGGTTTATCATTTTTATATTGAAGTCATATCCATCATCTTCTTGCCAAAACATCAGTGGGTATTGCAACGTGTCATATGAACGGTGTGTTTCACATACTTGTTGCAGTTGCCCAGTATCGCGACGTGTAAGCACAATATCGCGTATGTTCAAGTTTTCTCCAACGATCAGGATTGCAACTTTATCTATTGTTGGAGCGTTAAATTTGCGTTCATGTGTTTCTGCTGGTCGTTTATCCGCTCTGATCACAACTTTGTAGTTATCATGTGGCATGCGCTCCAACGCAGTCTTGAACAGCCTGACCAATGCCTGACCAATGATGTTCATGAAGTAGTTGCTGCAGATCTTGAAGAATTGTTATTTTCATTGCTGTGTTGATCTCTTGACGCCGTTCAAGTTGTTCCATCATATTGCCCATGAAGTATATTTCCAAGAATTTATGTTGTGCATCTTCAACAGGTTGCAATAATTCAATATGATGATGAATCTGGCACTAGCACAAAACAAACATATCAATACTTTCAGCTCATATTTATTTATTATATTTGAATTTATTATATTTGAAATATTTGAAAAAAAAATTTAAAAAGAAATCAATATCACTCAAACTGTCGAACTGTCAACAGTTTGAAACATTCTGCTATTCGGAGCGGAGACGATTCCAACAAATCAAAGCCGTTCTTGAGTTATAATTGGTCTAAATAACCCGACTTTCTCTTATGTATATAGATATATTAAATATATGTTGTATTAAAATTAAACAAAATTAAAATAAAATTTTAACACATCATCAAATGCTTTAAAAAGTTGTGTGCTATTTTTTTTTGTGTTGAATAATGGTGCGTTCTTGACGTCTTTATTGAACTTTTCAATTTATTAAATACGGAAAATTAGTTGCGTTTATGATATATTTTTTATACACGCTTACTCATTCTAACAACAAAAAATAAACAATTTATTTTGATTTTGTACATTTGGACATTTGGGTTGGCTTCCCAGGAGTAGTGACCCCAGTTTCCATCCAAATGCCATTGTTTTGCAGGAGTTTTATTGCGCACAATAGGCAAAGTAACCATTTACGAGTGTGTACACATATAAATTTTTATGTGTGCATACGTTTATGTGTTAATTTATATGCTTTGTGAGCATATAACAATAAAATTTATATTAAAATAATCACAAGTCATTTATCAACTTCAATTAATGATTGTTAAATTAATGCAATAATAGCAGCAACTACAACAATAATGAAAGCAACATTTACGACAACATATAATATAAAAATAAAATTGCTGCTGATATCAGAATCGAACACAAATGTTGCAAACATAATAATTAAATTAGTAAAGTTGACGCCAACAGTTTTCCAGTGTATACTGGAGCAGCGGTGCTCGTGTGCCGCAGCACAGCCAACTCCAGTCATACAGCACCCTTGCCAGTTACCAGCATAGTGACTATAGTTGGGAATAGTCAGTGCCTCCCACTACCACTACCATTAGCCTTTGCCTTTGCCTTTGCCTTTTCCTTTGCTTTGCCTTTAGACAATTCCATTAAATGAACGTGTTTCTAACATGATTGTTGCGGCTGCCCGGTGTGATTAATGGCAGTTTGATGAGGAAGCATTTTAATTGTCTACATGTGGTACACGTATAAAAAAATATCAAAAATATCAAAAATATATTTTGTACTTTTGTAATTATAAATGAATTTATTTGTTAAATTTAGTCTGCGTATTTTTTAATTACAAAACAATTGCAGCTCACAGCACTCGCTGCTAATTATGCACAACAATTTCAACTTTATGAAGCTTAATCTCTTCTTCATGCATCATTCCATACGAGAACATTATGGCTATGGATGATTTCGTGGAATTCAATTTTTCAATTCCATTATGAGTGTCAGTAATCGATTAGAGATCCAGAAAATGTATATCGACCGCGTGATGATCCAGATCCACATGCGGTATTTCTATATATTTAATATATGTTAGGAACGTTGTCCAGCACATACTGAAGAATGATGTAAAGACGACCTGATTCCGTAGTGGCACGAATGCAAAATTTACAGTTTGCATACATGGCCAATAAATTACGCCAACTTTGTATGCGTCGAAGAATTTATTGCTAACCTGTAGGCAAGAAAATACAATTTCGTTTAGAAAACAATGCAATAATTTAACGTTAATAATGAGAATTTATAATAGAACAACGTGTACGGTTGACTAGTCGAACTGGGAGGAAAATTGTAATTAATCATGAATTATTACAAGTATTCATGTACGTGCGTATTAGAAAATTTCTCGGCATGCAGTATTCCGTAATTAAATGCCAGGCATACTCGTATACTAAAAACAAGAATTTAAAATATAAGCTTAAGCTGTAAATTTTTCAAATGACAACGTCCAGACACATATAGATCAATAAAATGCCAGTTATTTTTATGCAAGTTCTTCAAAAGGGATTAAAACAACCAAAACAGCAGCCTATTAATACAGCTTGTTAAATGAAGTTTTAAACTTTTTTTTATTACTCCAATAATATTACATTTATCATAGATATCTAATAATAGTTTTAACGAATGAATTTAGGAAGTTTGAGTCAACTTAAATCATCATTTAAGATAACATGTTAATGATATTTTTAATACATTTCATACTATTTCAATACTTAAATTCATACTTTGTTTTAAAAACATGAAAACAAAAAAAAAATTAAAAAAATTTTGAAACACTGTAGTTATATATTTATAACTATATATTTATGATTAATATTTTTGTTTTATTTTTTATTGTAATTCAATTTAAAGAGAGATCTCAATGCATTTAAATATAACAGCATTCAGTACGTCAACTCTGAGACATTCCTGTGTGGCTTTCAGAAATGTCTTCATCTAACAATTGCTGTAGTTGCCTATATCATGGCTTGCCTTGTCATTATTGCCGAAGACGTCAGATTTGATGTCACCCGCAATTGTCGAAAATGGGTTTAATTTAAAAAAAAGAATAGCTTAATATATTCGTAAGTTTTAATTTAATCGCCACTATTGAATATGTTGATATTATTGAGTTTTTCAAGTTCACATTTCAATAGAAATGTAATAGAATTGTTCTTAAAGTGTATTTTTGGAGGTGCATATTACCTAAGTAATAATGTGAAACATATAGAATAATTTACTCGCAGTTATTTCGTAAAAGTACTAGAATTTTGTTGATTTGTGGATATTATGAGTTTAGATTCGTAAAAACTCCTTATGTAAAATATGAATTAACTTAGTGAGAAATTAAGAATTTACTTTGTATACTAACAGACAGATACACAGTCTTATCGACAGACGGACATAGCAAATATCGAATTGTTATTTCAGGCTGAAATAATAGGGGTATATAGGGAAAATATATGTAATAGGGGTATTGATTTAACATATGCTTTGTATACGTATTATGTTTTGACGGACTCTTGAGAAAAAAAGGCATTTTCGTTTGTATAATAGTTTTAAATCATATTTTAAACCGAAAATGTTTTTTTACCAAAGTTTTGCAAAATATTAGCACAGACCTAGCACAAAATAGCACGTATAGAAATGTGATCATATAAACACTCTTGTAATTTTGGACGATTTCGTGTTTGTCCATTGTATCATTTTATATGTAAGATCGCAATTTAAAGTTAATTTATAGTACGACTTAATATATTTAAACTAATTAAGTTTGACTTTAAACTGCAAATAACTTCAACACAAAGTTACCGAAATCGCCAATACATGTTTTTCAGATTAGAATCATATTTTCTAAAATGAAAAGACTGAGTAATGTTTGCTTAAAGCGCTACAAAGAACTACAAAAATAATTTTATTATCATAGCTTTATAATTTTTTATTTTTTCTATATAATTTTTATAAGTTTCTTTACATTTCTGAAGCCGGTGGATCCATTTTAAGTACTTAATATCCGATTTTTTTTTTTGGAGTTTGCTACTTCGACATTTATTCTGCGTAGTTAATTAAGCGAACTTTTCTTAATAATATCAAAACCGATGGACAAAATTCAGTGGTAATATAAGAATATCTAATAGAACTAATAGTTTGTATGTAGAGCACCCATAGGGTGCTGTAATCAAGCATACAACAAAAACTTCACCGTAACAAATTCTTGATACACAATGTATTCTTAATACCAATCTAAAAATATCAACTACTTTCACTAAATTATTTTTAATGATTTTTTTATTGGACGACTTCAAGTCTATCTGAAAACGGAACTACGGACGTTTCTTTGGCTACATTTGAAAAATATAGCAGGAAGATTTAGACATGGAAATGTTTTTCAGACTATAGTGGCTCATTTATGCACCTTGTTAATATTTCATATTTTCAAGAATATTTCAAGCAAAATGAAAATGCATACTTTTTAAAAAAGGTAAATCTAGCCTTTATGGTGTGGGAGAAATAATAATTAAAAATATAAAATAGAGAAATTCAAGAATCCGAAAGTAAACAGGAGTTATGTTGTCAGTCGGGAGTGTCATAACTGAAGTAGTTATTGGGATAGTGGTAGCATATTGCTAAATAACAACTTTAAAAAAATAATTAGACAATATTTGGAACATACTACCATCTAGACGTATTTTAATGACGGATTTTTTTTTGTCATGATGATTGAATGACGTATATTCACTTAGCAATTAGAGAAAAAATATTTTTCACACTAGTGCAAGAGATAATTTTGGGAGGTATGAAAGATAAACATGAGAAAATGCATTCCAAATTCATCCATCATATCCTTATTTACCGAATTTTTCTTTTTAGGGTTTACAAGGTGTTGAAAGTTTAGCTAAGAGTGTATAAAATCTTGAGAAATGACAAGGCTATTGTCTCGTCAATATATAGTCTTCGAAAAAATAAAGATTTTGGTGACAGGTTAAAAAATCGAATTGGTATATCAAGGAATGGTATGGTATATCAAGAAAAAAACAAATTATCTCTTATATTCTATGAAAGAATACTTGGGTGCTCTATGAATTGCAATTGTTATTTTGACTGCTTTAATTTACTGATAGATAATATGTACTGTATATTAAATTTAAAATCATAAAACAAGTTTAAATGAATCTCAGCGATATCTAAAGAAAATACAAATTAAAAGAAATTGTGAAATTACAACGTTAAGAAATTATTATGGCATCAGGTTTGCTCTTTAGAAGTATTGCAATAAATCAAAATTTGATATAAAATTTTTATAAATATGGTAAATAAAAAATATTGATAGATGAAAAAAAATTAAATAAAGAAGAAAATTTTATTAAAATTAATTTTAGCTTTTTCAGTTTTTCTTGCTTTTTCTATATGTAGGATAAAAAATGAAAAACACCAAGTCAGCTGCTTTGTTAGTTCGATTTTAGAACTTTACCAAGTGAGAAATAAAGTGAGTCAGTCATTCTTTATCACCTTACCGATTACTAAGTTTTCAAGTAACGTCTGGTTTCTTAATGCTTCATTCATATTCAGAAAACATGCTATTCTTATTTAACTAATTACAGATATATAAAAGAATAATTCTAGTGGAATACACCATTTTAAAAAAAGTTACTAGACTAAGGTTATACATATTCATATTCAATAAGGGTACTGAATACATAAAAATGACATTTACATTTACATACTTAACTAACATGACTATATTTTTTAACTTTCAGGCTAAAAAAGGTATGTTTAAAAAAAATATATAATTATTTTAAACTTAAACTGCAGAGTTAAGTATTTGAATTTATGTGCCAGAACGTAGATACTTGAATTCGAATCAACAACTCCACTTAAAACAATAATAACAATACCAACAATGTAATCAGCCACACACAAATTGAAGTTGACACGTCAAGTGTTTTGTCGCCATCTGCAGAGCGTAATTGGACAGGCGGACAGACAAATAACAAAACAGAATACCACACTTAAAGCACATTCAACATATGCGAGTAGTTATTTGTACACTTAAGATATGTATGAACTCGGGACTCAATCTAGATGTAGGTATGTGAGGTATATGCGAACATAAGTAAATGTATTCACACTAATATGTGTATAAACGATAAAGCAGTTCTTCTCATGCAACGTTCATCATGCATACATACCTCCTGCTTAGCTTCTTTGTACGTTCTGTCCTCCATCAGTGTTGTGCAGAAGAGGAACGAACTAATTGCGAATGGATCATATGCTGCCTGCTCGGTAATAGCTTTGCAAAGTGACGACTTGATATCGGTGCGTGGCCACATCACACTGGCCAAACGTATCCATACATAAATTGTTGGTCCCATAAATAAGGCACCAAATAAACTGAATCTGTTGAACAGAGAGTTAACACATTTGGCCAACAAAGCAAGTATAAAGCAAATGTTTGTGATTCGATGGAGTTGATGATGATATGTTGTGCATGCAATAAATATGTTATGCTAAAATGCCAGTGATGATAATAATGCCAAATGTATGTCACATATGTGCATATGTTGCGAATCTTGCCTGAGACATTTCTTCCAGTCATAATTACGGAATGTTCGCTTTTCAATTATGGTCTGTTCGATTAGGCAACCACAAGGCCACAGCAATCCATACGATATCATGCCACGCACGATTTTGTACTTATGTGTGAAGTTAATGAAGTTGCGGATCATTTTCTTATTATTGCCGGAATTCAACTAGAAATCTTCTACTCGTATCTTATAATACTGTTTAACTAAAAAAAAAGAAAACAATTTAAATTTGATGTTAGTCTAGGAAAATTTTGAGATTACTTTATTTTAACTAATTATATATTAGATAAAGGGCTTAAAGGTTTGTAATACTGGATAAAGATCTTAAAATATTTTGTAATATTTATTATTTTCGGTCCCTGCTTAAAATATTAGAAAAATATTTTTTTTTCTCTTCCAAAAATATTTAATTAAAATATGTGTATCATCCATCCATTAAATTATAAATTGAAACATATACATTCACATGGTATATATAGCAGAGATTAAAAACAAAAAAAAAGTGGTGACAGTCCTATTAAAATACATAAATCATTTACCCTAAATTAGCTCTTAATAACGTAATCTTCTGCAAAAACTTGAAATAATAAAGTTTTATAGTACACAAAAAAGAATTTCTGCTAAAATCTCAATTATTAAAATCCGGAAAAACAAGGACCAGAGGAAGAAAATTAAATATTAATGGCAAAAAATATTAAAATTGATAGAATACATCCATTTTTTCAAGTTCTACAGCATACCATATATAATATTTACACTATACCATTTTAGTGCTTTAACGAAGCATGTTGAAGAACTTGTGGCCTAATGTTTATTTTGTTTAGAACACAATGCAGCTACTATTTTTTTTTATAGTAAAACGGAGAACAAAATCAAGAAGAGTGTTTTTATGTTAAATTATAACATTTCTGTGCAAAAACTTTATTTAAAAAATATTCTTTGTTATTAAATTAAAAATTAAATTAATTATTAGTAATGTCAATGCTGACATGGCATTAAATTAGAATGTAAGGTAGTGTATAGTATTGATCAGATTCAAGCTACCCGTTGTTTATAATGTAAATAGTTGTAGCAATAAAAAATAAAAATAAAAACAAATTATTAATAATTGAAAATTGATTGCTTTTTGAGATATATAATGTCTTTTGTCCAAACCATAAGCCAAAAATTCACCTCGGAAGGGCAAAATATTTTGAAATATAATGCTGCTTCGATTATATTTTCGTTCACCATACAATGTGATGTAATGTCGCATAAATAATGAATACACATATCTCTACATATAGTCCTTCGAATCACATCTTCAGCACTAATAGTTTACCGTTGACTATGTAAATATCTTAGGCTTATTTAGTGTTGCAAAATGGCCCAACTAAATCTCAACAAATCTTAATCTGCTATAGTTTTCAAAATAATGGCTCTGGGAAGGCTTTTCAAGGTATCATGGTACATAGAGGATAGAGCCCTGAAATTATTTACGAAAACTGACAGACTTACCAAAACCGCGTTATCGAATTTCAGAATAGTTACTCCTCGGGGAAGGTATGCAGACCTGAAGTCAATTATGGCTTAGTCTGAAGAAGTAATAAACAATAATCCAGTCAAGGCATAAGAGGAGTTTTGAGGAAACCTCGCAGTTAATAGAGAGTAAAAGTGCTCAGATGCACTGACTTAACTAGCTCCAATATAATAATTAAAAAAAATTTTGCGCATTATAGAAGTCAATGTAGTCGTTATAGAAGTCAACCGCAAGTAGCTATTGGTGGATCCCTCTAATAGCTCATAACAGCTATTGGTGGATCTCTTTTATGAACACATAAGTTTACGGTTCGAAGTGAATAATATTCACACCGTAGTGGAACACAAACAATTTCTCAGCTGATCATATCGAAAAGAATCATAGAATCAGTATTTGTTCAATTTGTTCAAATATCCAAAATAAGCAATAATTCAAATATGTTAAAACAAAAACTAAGTTCGATAGAGTACTTCCACGAACGCTTCAAACTATGGAAAATCTTCAGTTCTCATAAGAACTTTCGCAATTCCTAAATAAATAAAATAATTGGCTTAATCTAACAGAAATATCTTTAAATTAGTCATAACAAGTCAGTTATCATTGTTTGTGATGATTTCTATGATCGTAACGGTACATTGTTGTTGTTGTAGAAATCCGTGAAGATCTTCATAGTTATAAAGATAACATGAATAGAATTATAAATACGTATACATGGGTTGCGATGTAGTTAGGTAAAGGAAATGAGAAAGAGGCGGTGATTGTTTAATAAACGAAAGTGTATTGAAGATGGGTGGTTAATTGTTGTCAACCTGAATCAAGGAGAAAAAACTCAGTCTCAAAGGAAACTATTTCACGGTACATTGTCGCACTATAATGGTGTTGATCATGGTATCAAGGTTAAAGTGAATATATAGAACGAAAAGAATTTTAGAAGGTGTTCTTAAAGTTGGTTAAAGAGAGGTTAGATGTTTCAACAAGAATCTCCATCGTTATTGAAAGCAAACATTAGAAACGAATGTGAGTACCATTCCATATTTTATTTTAATTGCAGATTGGCTTTCGTGGTTGGTAACATAGATGAAGACCGATTGTTTTTTTTTATATTGACAATTTGATTGAAAATTCCTCAGAAAAAATTAATTTTGAATCACTGAATGAATTTAAGTGGAAGAATGTGTTTGATATCAAAAGATATTTAATGCACTGATGGATAATTTTATGCATAATTGGTCTATAATTTAAACTTTCTGGTTTAGCTGCTGTTCAGATATTGCCAGATACTGCTGACCTGCTTCCATACGATTTTCTTTGTTTGAGCAAGATTTGAGCGCAGTCTGTTATTTAGGGTTTCTACATCTATTGTTTTTGCACTTGAACTATTTAGTGTTCTGTGATGTTTACTGTGATGCGATTTTACAGAATTCGCCACGTGTTTAAAGCGCCATTTTAAATATTAACGACTAGCCTATTATTATATTATGTCAAAACCTATTATTATATTTTGAAATAGTAAAATATTTTCGAAATATGAATTAATCATATACATGTATTTTTAAATTTAAATACAATATTGAACACTATTGAATGACGATACCGCCGTGCAAGATCTCCAATGTTAACCTTATCATTGATAAATATAACAGCATACCTACATCCTTTATCCACAAAAGTATGTACAAATACATTGAATTGGAGAATTAAATTGAATTTTTTCTAAATTTAAAGTATTATTTTAAATTCAATTTGGGTACATAATTAAATGCTAGAATATATTATATACCAGAATATACAAAGAATAGAAGTTCCCATAACAAAAATGTAGTGCAGGCAACTAAAATATAATTTGGAAGTACTTTATTGTGGCTGTCATTAACAATGCAAACAACGTCAAATAAAAATACAAAGCAACACCATGCAAAATGCACTTTACATAATGCAACTTGCAATGTGGAACGTGCAATGTGCAACATGGCAATTATTTGTTAAGTGGCAAGTGTGTGTGCACTAATCAACGCAATATAACGCAAGCAACGCACTGCACAACGAGTAGAGACCGGCAGGCCGGTGGACCGGCAGACGGACAGACAATGGCATGAATGCACAAGCAGACACGGATGGAACCAATCTATGATAAAGTCAATGCTGCCGCCAACGTTGTTGGTGCGAGTACTAGTGCGGCATGCCGTGTTTTATTGTGCCATATGATGACGACACTGATGTGATGGGAAGCGATAACAACAATCAAGCAACATTTGTCCATGAGTGCACGGATAGCAAGCAGGCGGTCTGTTGATCAGCCGATAAAAGAGTACCAAATAATTTATTTGTATGCGAGTGAGTATCTGAGAGGTTGCAACCGTGGCAGACAAAGCCATCTATAAGGCTGCACCCTTTGTACGATATTTATTTAAAAAATATTTTTATGTGTAATTTTAACAATTTTGTGTAGATTGTATTTAGTAACTAATTTTGTGCAGTCACTAAAAGAAGGGTCGTTCGGTCGACTAGCATGCACAGTTTAAAGAAAATTTCTATAATTTGATGGCATTGTTAATAATTGCGGAAGTTCATACAAGGTTCATGCTTACTTTTTTTCAGTAATTACTTTTTTTTATTAAAGTTAAGGCATTCGTGTTGCTAGAGGGGTAGAACTTGAGTACCACAACTACCGTTAATTGCTTAAAATTTTCATTATTTATTTTATTTTCCAACTGAAGGCATTAGATTCGATTTGATTTGATTTCATTGCTAGCAGGATTTTTTCCTATTTAGCCCTATTCAGCTCAGCTCAACTTAGTTCATTTCAGTTCGGTTTGGCTGAGTTTGGTTGGGTTTTATTCAATTTAAATCTTTTGTACTCGTCTAACTAAAAAATGTTTGTAATTGTTGATTTAGTGTCTTTTCATGTTAAAAAAATATCTCTACTTTTTCTGAGATTTCAACGGAATTGTATGCACGTTCGAACAAAAGTACATAGTATTGTTTGCTCTGCTTTTTACCCATCGTAATTTTATTTTTTACTAAAGATATTTTTTTTGTTATTGGTCTGGCATTCATTGATACTATGTGACAAATGGCTTTGACGTGTATTGAAAATGTCATTATGCAGCGGGTAGCCTTTGCGTTGAGTTTAATGACAGGCAACATATTCGGAAAATAAAAGCATTCAGCCATTCAGCCACTCTGCAAACAAACGTTTCGATGCATGGATATACGAACTACTAAATACCCCGCTGTCTTTCTAGGTTCTTGCTACTTACTTTTTCAGTTCGTATTGCTTTTATTATTTTTTTTTTTTTTGCTTGCTGATTGTGCAATGGATTGTACATATATTAGAGTGCAAACTGTGTGAGCCGACAGCTCCGATCGGGTAATTAAACAATCAATGTGTGAACCTTTTGTCGCTAAAAGAGTCGTTGTCTTTACGGATGGATTAGAGAGTGAGTTCGAGTTACACCTTTCCATACAATATGTATTTAAAATATTTTCCTTAGAAGACCAAAATGATTTATTTTTCAAGAAGTGGAAGAGTGTACACGAATACCCAATCAGCACGTTTTATTACTAAAAAGTTGTACATAAAAATATATTTCTGTGACATGAAAGCATAACTTCAATATTTGCATTATTGTAAATATTTTTTTTTGACAATCAAAAATATAAACTAATCGCAATTGTATGACA